TATATATATATATATTATTAATAGCTGATAAATAGGTGTGTACAAAAGATTTTTTTTGTACCTGTAGTTCAAATACCTTTATAGACAAATTCTTATATGCACCTTGATACCGTGACGCGTACAGTAGTGGTCAATATATGTTTATAGACACATGAACTCTACAGTGAATATCCCGACCAATGTATACACGTATAGGCAGGGCAATCTAAATTCATGTCAGGAGTATAGTTTCGCTCGCCGCCAGCAAATGCGTGTGCATATACGAAGGTTGACATATACGTACATAGTACTATACGTGTGTATGCATGGGTGTTCGATTAAGGAAGGGATGAACTTGCCGTTCTAAACAATCATGACCAACACACACGTGCAACGGACTTTGAACGTAGGTATACGCCCACAAGTATATACACACTTATAGATGTATATATAGATTCATGTATAGCCCTACACCGACTAGTCTAAACTATGTTGCAATTTACAAAGTGTCACATTTGTAATAGGGACGCGGATGCGTCTACACACATCCGTATATACATGCGTGAGTATATAACTCTGCATATGTACATCTATACCTTTCTGTATTGCTCTTTTCCAATGATCATACATGCATTCACCTTTCCAATGATCATACATACACTCACCGTTTGTTGCAGTGGCATGTGTCATAGCATATCCAATGATCATACATACACTCACCGTTTGTTGCAGTGGCATGTGTCATAGCATATCCAATGATCATACATACACTCTCCGTTTGTTGCAGTGGCACGTGTCATAGCATATCCAATGATCATACATACACTCACCGTTTGTTGCAGTGGCATGTGTCATAGCATATCCAATGATCATACATACACTCACCGTTTGTTGCAGTTTGAGGTTGACGAGTGGGTGAGTGCCGGCGAGAACAGCGGCAAAGTGCATGTCATCCTCAAATTCAAAGCCGACCCAAAGAGTGTGGGCATTGGTAGGTAATCTACTACTGTACCTGTACAACGACCCATGCACACACCTGTGTATGTCAGGCCCTGTTTAGGGTTTCATGAGGATGGGGGAGTCGTTCAGGTGCACGTTTTAGGGTTTTAGCGTTTTAGGGTTTGGTGCAGTTACACGCACTAGGACCTAAGTGAAGGTTACACGCTACACACAGAACACCTGTGAGAACACTTCAACGTAGCAGCGTGGCTGTGGGGTGCATCCACACAGTGCCCTACACTTACGCATGCCTACCTGTAGACAGATGTATGGGTGCACCCACACGGTGCCCTACACTTGCGTACGTGTAGCTGTGGTTGCACAAAGTTATACGAGCATATATAATCGCGTACGCATGCGCAAATAGGATGATGGCAATACATTGTAGATACGTTTACGGAACATAGATGTATGTAAGCACACACTATAGGTTTTAAAGGGATTGGACGTACACATGAGCGTGTATGTTATGTCACATATGTGTGTACCTGTGCTTGCCAATGTACACACACGTCACACCTAACGATGTATTGTATTCACCCACGTACAAATGCACACCACACATATTTGCACGTGCACCCACGCGTGCTGACACATACACTTGTATTTTATCAGCTAATGTATGCACACTCACCTGTACGCATGCAGCTATACGATGTAGTACACCCATATACTCACATGTGCATTACACGCTGCATTATACATACATGTTCATACGTACACTTGAACACTGTATGGTACTTACACACGCACATACGGACCTACCCGTTGTAGTATATATGCATTGTCACACATGCGTCTATATGGTCTATCATACACACATACTCACACGCCCATCTGTACTGTGCAACGAACTCGCACATCTGTGTATTCGTTATATACGACACACACATACACTCACACCTACACGTAAGAGTCATTACGTACACACATACACTCACACCTACACGTAAGAGTTATGTACTTACACACATACGCACACATACACGTAAGAGTTATTACGTCCACACATACGCACATATGCACTTACTCATAATATTGAACGAACACATACACGTAAGAGTTATTACGTACACACATGCGCACATATGCACTTACACATAATATTGAAGGCACACATACACGTAAGAGTTATTACGTACACACATACGCACACATGCACTTACACATAATATTGAACGCACACATACACGTAAGTGTTACTAAGTACACCACATGCCTACATATACACTTCCACATAATAATGAACGCACACGTGTATATCACACAGAACCCTTGCGTCATGAATTCGACGGCCCTCAGCTGCACTCCGGACGGCAGTGCAGCTACTGTGACCTGAGTGTGACGGGAAGTTCGGTACTTTGCCTCAACTGCAACTTGGTGATCCACGTCAACTGTCGCCCCTTTGTAGCTGCGTGTTGTCCGGGTCAACGGTCGGAGAAGAAACTGTGGGCAGACAACCAACACGTGCAGAAGCACATCAACACCAAAGTGCCGGTCAATGTGGTGGCTGATCCCCGCCGAGCACAGCATATTGTCTACGGACGAAGGTACGTGCGTGTGTGCGTGTGTGCGCGTGTATGTGTGTGCGTGTGTGTGTGCGTGTGCCGTAGATATTATGTTTTGTCGTTGTGTGTATGTGTGTTCGATAGTGTGTGTGGGTAGGAAGTGAGTGAGTGTGTGCGTATGTGTGTGCGTGTGCCGTGGATGTTTGTCTTGTCGTTGAGTGTATGTGTGTTCGATAGTGTGTGTGGGTAGGGAGTGAGTGAGTGTGTGGGTATGTATGTGCGTGTGCCGTGGATGTTATGTCTTGTTGTTGTCTGTATGTGTGCTCGATAGTGTGTGCGGGTAGGGAGTGAGTGAGTGTGTGCGTATGTGTGTGCGTGTGCTGTGGATGTTATGTCTTGTCTTTGTATGTAAGTGTGCTCGATAGTGTGTGTGGGTAGGTAGGGAGTGAGTGAGTGTGTGCGTATGTGTGTGCGTGTGCCGTGGATGTCATGTCTTGTCGTTGTGTCGTGTATTGTATCGTCTGGCTGTGTGGGGTTGTGGTTGTCTGAGCGCTTGCACGTGCTTAATACGCCCATATACAGTGTGGTAGGGTGTGTATTTAGTCGTACCGTTGCGTATGTCTAGGGTGCACATATCATCATATCTGCAATATGCATAGCATACTTATACACTCATTAGGGTGCACATTCCATCATATCCGCAATATGTATAATATACATATACACTCAATAGGGTGCACATATCATCATATCCGCAATATGTATAATATACATATACACTCAATAGGATGCACATATCATCATATCCGCAGTATGCATAATATCCATATACACTCATTAGGGTGCACATATCATCATATCCGCAAAATGTATGATATACATAAATATACATATATACTCATAGCAAAGCGCTACATTGCATTCTCTCCTTGCGCATTCGCCACCCACAATTTGGTCCTCCTTTTGAAGTGCAATGTGTACTATTTCATTCTTCTAGTGGTCGCGCGCGCGTGTAGGTGTGTGTGTGTGAGTGCGTGTGTGCATGCATGTGCGTATGTATGTATGTATGTATATATATATATATACATGTGTGTGTATGAGTGTGTGTGTGTGTGAGTGAGTATGTGTATTTTTGTGTGTGTGAATGTGTGTGCGTGTGCTTGTTTGTGTGCGTGAATGAGTGAGTGTGAGTGTATATATGTTTATGTGCGCGTGTGCTTGTGCATGTGCATGTGTGCTTGTGTATATGCGTGTGTGCTTGGGCATGTGCGTGTGTGCATGTGCATGTGCGTGTGTACACATGTACTCACTTATCCCTCCCACACCCTTCCATCGTGTGTGTGCCTACACATGTTCTACGCATGCAACCACTTGTACATCTTACCCACTTTCATCTCATGTGTGCGTCAGCGTGTACACATCTATTCAACTACCCCTTACTCACATCTATTTATTTGCCTCTTCTCCCCCCCCCCCTCTGTCTCTCTCTTTCTCTCCGCAGGCGTAGCAGTGGCTCTAACCTCATGCCGTCCATCGTTGAGCCTGATGCACGCTCTATTGGCGGTGACCAGATACTGCACACAGACCCAGAGGAACTGGCCGGTGGTGTACGCGCACAACGCAGTTACATGGTGCCACGCGAAAAGCGCAAAGGCGACATATCACAGACCGATCTCAAAGTACTGGGAGATACGAGTCCGTCGAATAGCAGAGACGTGCTTGGGTGAGTGGCGTGGGTGCATGGAGGTGTGTATGGATGAGGGTGGTTGTGTGCGTGCGTTGATGGATGAACACACAGGGGTGTGTGTGTACGAGTGTATTTGTGTATATACTGGGAAGTACCTACATGTGGTTAGCTGGGTATATGTATATGGTGGTTGCCTTGATGCACATGTTCATACGTAGTGGTATATGCTTTCCCTGAGGCCATTCGTGAACATGGATGAGTGATAGTTTGTAGAGGGTTATGCATTAAGAGTGGGCTTGAACGAGTGTAGTGTTGTAATTGATCATTCTCACATGTTATCG